CTAAAACAATATGGTTTTCTTAAGATATTAAGACGCTCTTGGTTAAATTTACAAAACTAGAGTTAAAAGAAAAGGTTGTCTCTTTTACTAAAATAGTTTTTTGTGTCTTCTACGGTTAGGCTTTTGGTTACTAAAAGTGAACTTTAAGAATTAAAGAATATTTAAATGTTAATCTATAAAGCGTTTCCAATAATCAGATAATTGGTTAAAATAAATAATCATCATCTTAGTTTATGACATAACTTGTGAACATATATGTATATAGGTATATATTTAAAACCAAGATATGCTGTGAGTGTAAGCTGTAAAGTTAAGTTTATGGAGTTTAGAATACATAAGTTTATACATGCAAAGTAACTAATAGGTGCTTTCTTTTATATAATATGCATCTAGACCTTAGACATAATATGATCAAAATTTAACATCTGTTTAAGTTTGTTCCTAATATTTAAACTTGATCCACATCTACTGGCTTTGATTAAACCATTTTGTTATTATATGAAAAGATACACTTGTATTTTGCGTAGTACATCTATTTGAGTTAAGTTTCCTAAATTTTAAGAGCTCTACAGGTGTCCTCAATTCTTTTCAGAACAGTTACAACTCTATAACACCTGTTAAAGGAGTCTAAAATTTGCCTTAAATGTATAACAGATAATGTGAAATACAAAGAAAAGGTACAAAGGGGAAGAGGAAAGCAATAAATATGAGAAAAGGCAAAAACAGAATCAAAGTCTTTATAAATAAGGAGGAGTGTAGGGGTTGAAGGGAGGGCAGGGGAATGAGGAAAAAAATAAGAGCCAAGATATATCATGTAAAGGTACAAATTTCGAATGATGACTGTCATATTGAATAACTAAAATGTACCAATAAACTTAATGAAAAGAAAAGAGAAATAAATACTAGATATAGAAAGAAGACTCTGATCACTACACTGACTCCTGCTGACACTCTCTAGCTACAGTTATAGCTAACTGTTAGGGCTCAATGAGGCTGCAAAGGTAAGGTGGATGCTACAAAAGCTGAGTAAGTCTTTAAATTCCTTTGCTAAAGCTGTCTTTCAAAACCACAGAACTCTCCATCTTCTGATAGCTAAAACTGGAGGGACTTGTGCATGAATAATTGAAACTTGTTGTCTTTAAATAATTCACATCAAATGAAAAAAATCAAAGAAATATCATACTTATAAACTCCATCAGTAGACAGGTCCAGGAACCTATTCCAATCTAAGAGCAGTGTCTGGATGTGGCTCCTTTTCCCAATTTGTATTTCTATTCTGGTGCTCATGCTTTGGTTGTATGTGCTTTAAACTCTTGGTAAAATGTGCTTATTCTCACCAGGAGGCTGTCAAACTCGAAATGATCACACAGAAGGAAACAATGATAAATGAGCCAGACTCCTTTTACCTTTTGAAAGGAGTTCATAACTGCTAAACTCCAACACGACCTCTATCCAAGGCCCCTTAGATCAGCTCTCTTGAGAAGATCCCTGCCTGGTGTCTCTGCTATACCAATTCATCTCACCTTAAATCAACTAGATTGAATAGCAACCCATTTTCCAGTAACTGCAGTTAGGGATACCTCTTCAGAAGGAGTGTTACAGGCAGCTAAATTAGACAATTAATATACAGCCAGAGAGGGATT